CGGGCCCCCTCCCCGGCCTGCCGCCCCTTCCGTCCGCGTCCTGTGCCCTCCGCCCTGCGACCCCGGCCCGCGCCCTGTCCCCGCAGGCTGTCACCGCGTCCCGACCGGAGCCGCGCCCCTCGCGGGACCCAAGTCCTGCCGCACCCCGAATGGCCCGCGCCGGCCCGGCCCTCGGCTCGCCTTTCCACTTTATATTAACTTTGAACTGCGTAGCCCTGAGGGGCTGGGGTTCCTGCACTGTGATTGGCGTTGGGTGAAAGCGATGCCTTTTTGCTTGCAGTGTTTGGACAGTCGAGAAGTTTTTGCTTTTGCTCGAAGTCATATTCGTCATCTCAACAATAAATACCTTAGGTGCCAAGATTCTTGTGAAATTGTTTTGCTCAGACCTTCTCTGAAGTCTGCACGGAGGACAGACAACAGATAAACTGAGACCTCTTAAATCATCTTTCTGCAGCCCCATGGAGTGGAATCCAACTCAGGAGTTTAAGTATCGCCTTTGATACTTCACAGAGGCGTGGCGGAGCAGGTTTCATTAAATGAGATAATAGGTTTGAAAACGAGGTCTGATTATTGGGATCGCTGTTACAGTCCCAGGATACGACTTCGCGTGTGGAAAGACTCTAGACTAATTCTAACCGTTTTAAGTACCTGAATCATTTGTAAACTGTTCCAAATCCTTACCTTTGTTCCAAATCAAGCATTTCCTTTTATGTAGTACTTACAGGTTCTCTTTCTATTCATATATATTTATTGAAATGTACAGATCAAGGAGTTGCTCTATGCTTAGTTTGTCCTATTGGAAGTTGGTTTCTGTCTTTACTCTGGGACTTGATTTGCCCACATGTTGCTCCCTGGGCTGGTTGCTTGAGGCTTTGAGGCTTTCCTGAAGGGCCAGGCTCTGAAAAAATGAAATAACTTCGGTGGAAGTCAGAAAGTTTCCAGAAGCCTCAATTTTTAAATATTCAGGCATCAGTAAGTTCACTTCAAGTTAATCATAATCGTTCATGATTAAAAAAACAACAACCCAGGCCAAATGGAACACAACTTATCTGATTCTGAAAGATGGATTCAGCACATTCTTAAAAGTTCCTTCACACAGAAACACTTGGAAATGTCAGTGCTATAAGAAGGCTGCCAATCAACCACAGAAAGGACTTAGATATTTAGAGCCCCTCCCTCTTTCTCTCCGTGTTCCCTGTCCTGTAGGTTGAAGTGTTTGGCGTGTTATTGTCATTTTAACCCCCCACCTCCCTACTGGGGACTGAACCTAGGGCCTTGTACGTGTGCGGTTGGTGCTTTATCACTGAGCTTCAGATCCAGCCGTTTTTATTTTTCATTTTGAGATAGGCTCTTCTTAAATTGCCGAGGCAGACCTCCTTTGAGCTCTTGTCCTCCTGCCTTAGCCTGTCCAGTACGTAAGATCACAGGTGCACCATGAACACATGTGCACTGTGCTTCCTGCTCGTTATTTTGAAATTGCTACTGATAAGATTGTAATAGTGGCTGATGTTAGAATTTCAAGGCATACACAGAATAATAATTTCAGCAGTGCAGTGAAAGCTGTTCCTTGGCTTGAACTCACTTTATTATGTATTCTATCTTTTTGAGACATGGTTTTGCTATGCAGTTCAGACTGGTCTTGAACTCACTTTGTAGCCCAGGCTGTCCCTGAACTCTCAGCCATCCTTTTGCCTCAGCTTCCCAAGTGCTGGGATTACAGGTCTGCACCACCATGCCTGGCTTGAACTCACATTTATACATAGTTTCTATTATCCTGTAAATAGAAGTGCATTATTTGTGGTAAACAGTTTTCTCAATTCTTTTAGTGGCTTTTCTTAACCCTCACTTACATTTCTTGATGTGCACATGGACTTCTCTTTTCATTGATCATCACAGATACTTAAACTACACGAACTAGTAGTTCACATAGATCTATGGTGTTATGGAATACAGTAGAATGTAGTGGAATCTTAGGGCCAATGATTTTTAATTGGTACCTAACATTCATTTAAAAAGGCAAAACTAGTCCTTTGCAACAATTTTGAAAAGAAGCATATTACTTTGAAGAGTTATTACTTCTGGGAAAATTAATGTATCAAGTAATAGCATATAATAATGACAAATCAACTTTATCCCTGGTTATTTCTGTCAGAGCAAATAAGTGCAGAAAGTAACCTGATTAATCACTCATGAAGACCAGTTGAGATTGATGCATGGGGTAAGATTTAATTTTGTATGTACTCTCTTAAATGATCCTCCTGCCTTCCCCCCTCCTCCCCAGTGCTGACAGGTGTGCATCACCACGCCCCACCTGGTTGTGTATTCTGAATCCTTTTTTATTTTGGTACTGGGAATTGAACTCATGACCTTGTGCTTGCCAGGAGGGCGATGTGCCACTGAGCTATATCCCCAGCCTCTGTTTTGAGCCTTGAAGTGGTTGGTTTTTATTTAACATTTGTTATAGAAATGTTTCAATTTTTTTGCTAAACTACAGATTTGGGGAAGTTAGTTACTTGAATGCTAAGGTTAGACCTTACTTCAGTAATAGCAAGAATTGTAAGGGCTCTTTTGTCAAGAATATGTATTTATGCATTGTAACCCACTAACAAAACAATCAATAAATAGAAGGGAAAACAGTCTCCCACACCCTTTGATCCTAACAAGTTTTCTTTCATTCTCATTTGTGCTCACATGCATATGTAATTTTACATAGTTTGAACATTGCAAGTTTTACTAATTTTTTTTTCCTCTGAAAGATGAAGCTAAAGGGGCATATTTCTTGTCACAGACCTTGAAGTTCTATTTGTAGATGTCATTATTTGTTTCGTCTTTTGCTCTGTACAACTCAGCAGAGACTCTTGTTTGTGTCCACGCTGTATGCAGAACACCTGTTCAGCACTGTTAAGCAATCTAATGGTTAAAAGAGCTGAAAGTTTTATGAGCATAATCAACATTATTAGTTGGATCAGCAACATAATCCTTTTCAGGAATTTGACATTTTATAACATTAGGTGGTTTAAAAATATTTAATAGGCAAGTGATCATTTATTGAGTGTCTGCCAGGTTTCTAGCCTTATATAGATGGCTTGAGATCTTTAATCAGGAGGCTGCCCCTGTTTTAATATGCATAAGATTGACTGTCAAAGTAAATAAGTTATATAAGTGTTTAGAAAATACCTTTGCCTAAGGGAGAGAAACAAAAAACTATACTAGAAATTGAGTGAGAGAGAAAAAGTAAAATGGATTATTTCAGGTGTTAGGGATTACAGGCAACATGTTGATTTTTAGCAGGTACTTCCGAGGAGTTTACTTTGCATTTTGAAATTCTTGCTATAGTAAAAGACACAAAATATGTACTCATGTCAAATAAAGCCAGTGCTTCGGTAAATCATAGACTGGTATCTCAGTGGAAGAATTAGGATGCAGACCTTCAAAGTGAGGATCAAAACTATAACCAAAGGGAGAGTGTTTTCTTTCTTTTTTTCAAAGGAGCACTTTGTTTTAACTTGTGTGGAAGACCTTCTGGGAAACCCAGAATGAAATTGTATGTGTAGCTATGATTAAATCTAGTGAGTCAAAGCTAGAAAGAATCCTGAATAAATGAAGTTGTTCAGAGGGTTTTGTTAGAAGCCTGCTTAGTTGTATTATCATATTTAATTTCTTAAACTGTGATTTAGGGTTCAGAATATAGTTCAGTGGTAGAGCTCTTGCCTTGCATGCATAAGGCCTTGGGTTTTGTCCCCAGCACCTCAAAAGAAGAAGGTGTGCTTTGGGGCCCTTGCTTGCGCGATGTGGCTGTCCTGTGCAGAGATAAAATGGAAAGCTGGGTTATTAAGTTTGGGGTGATTGACTGGGACGTATAGAAATTCTGAGGCAGAGAGAACACTGATTAGGGAGGACTGCTGAGAAAGGCTGTCTAGACCAAAGGCTTCCAGGGAAGTGTGATTTGAGCAGGCATGTGGTGAACCGTGGAGGAGGCCAAGTTGCCTGGGAGCAGCACAGGGCAAGATTGAGTGTGGTGCTTTTAGGCGGCAAAGACCAGATTCACCTGGCTGGAGGGAGGATTATGTACGGTTGCCTGGAGAAGGACAGATTGTGAAAGGCTGGGGGAACTGCAGGAAGTCTGGGATACTCACTAGGCCAGAAGTGTGGCTTTAGGTCCATGCAGTTTGTTTAGCTTTTTAGATATTTGTGTGGACACCTATGTGAAAAATTGCCACATCCGACTCCCGCCATAGCAGGGCTGTACTTAAAAAAGAACATGAGAAAAATGAAGTTGTATGAATGAGTTGAAGAAGGCCTGGTAAAATCAAGTAAGCTACCCTTAATCAAAAGATCTAGGTAATGGCGCATAGTTGTAATCGCAGCATTCATTCGGGAGGCTGAAGCGGGAGGATCACTGTGAATGAGTTCAAGGTGCCTGGGCTACATAGTGAGACTCTGTTACAAAACAAACAAAGGATCAAAACAAAACAAAACAAAGTGAGAGGAGATTTGGGACCCTGCTGTCAGTGAGGAAAAAGGCTGTCCCTAGGCAGTGAAGGGGCAGGAAGGCATTTTTGACCCTGAGGCCTGGAGGTTCTTCAGCATTTTTGGAGATCACTGGGCTGTGTGGAGCTAAGGATGACTGGATGGAAATTTTTGAGTGCTTGCTGAAACAGAAGGTACTTGTTTTACTAGTGTCTGCTGTGTATGCTAATGGTGGATAAGGCACACATCCATTGTGACATTGTTTCTGCTGTCATGTCAGTGACTGAAATTTGGAGTTGTTTAT